GATTTAATTTGGGGCGCTTACAAAGTGTATGGGGGACAATGCTGGTTCAAATACGACCAGCAATTCCGCCAGAAGATGGCGGCGTGTCAGGGGATGGGTTTCGGGGTGCAGGACGGCAGCCTGTGGCTGCTACTGATGACCCCGTGTAGACCCTCCCCCTTTTCAGGGGTTGCCGGCGTCCCCATGGGGACGTCGGCAGGTCAGCGGAAGGGAGTTTGTTGGCTCTTCAACGAGAGCCACTGTAAGTGGTTTAGCTGTTGTAGATTCCGGCACGAGTGTGCCCATTGTGGGGGAGCCCACCCGGCTCTCCGTTGTTTCAAGAAGGGCAGACCGCCTGCCGCCAAGGGCTCTGGTAGGGACGACGTTCCTCGCGGCGAGGACGCCGGTGAGCGTGGAAAAGATGCGTCCCTGGTTAAGCAGGTATCCTAAGAGGGACGCTGCAAGCCTTCTGTTCGACGGTTTTACAATGGGTTTTTTGGATTCCCTTTGTGCTGTCGGATGAGGGCCGGTTTGCTGACAATCTTCGGTCCACGCGGGGTAGGGAGGGTTTATTGCAGGAAAAGCTGGAGGCGGAGATTCAACGGGGCCGCATGGCCGGTCCCTTTGATTTCCCCCCGTTCCACAACTTGAGAGTGTCTCCGTTGGGTCTGGTACCCAAAAAAGACCCGGGAACTTTTCGGTTGATTCACCATCTCTCGTACCCTTCGGGGGCGTCGGTCAACGATGACATTGACAGGGATGCGTGTCGGGTGCGGTATGCGTCCTTCGACTCGGCCTTGCTCCTACTGCGGCGGGCCGGTCGTGGGGCTTTGTTGGCAAAATCGGATATTGAATCGGCCTTTCGTTTGTTGCCGGTTCATCCGGATTGTTTTCATTTGTTGGGGTGTTTCGCGAACGGTTGCTTCTATTATGATATGTGCATGCCCATGGGTTGCGCTATATCTTGTTCTTATTTCGAACTGTTTTCTTCCTTTTTGGAGTGGGTCACGTCTCGAGTTTCGGGTTTGGGGTCCTTGACCCATTACTTGGACGATTTTTTGTTTGTCGGTCCGTCGGTTCCCAGGATTGTATGGCGTTGCTTCAGGCGTTCCGGCGGGTAGCGTCGGAGTTCGGTGTGCCAGTTTCCGAACAAAAGACGGTCGGCCCGGTGTTGGTTCTTTCGTTCTTGGGTATCGAGATCGATACTGAGAGCATGGTTTTCCGGCTTCCTGAGGAGAAGCTGGAGGGGTTGCTTCGGCTAGTGGACTTGGTCAAAGGTTCCAAGAAGGTTCAGTTGCGGCAGATGCAGGGCCTTTTGGGGCACTTGGTTTTCGCATGTCGAGTGTTACCGATGGGTCGGGCATTTTGTCGCAGATTGTCTTTGTCCACGGTAGGGGTGAGGGAACCCTTCCATTACATTCGGATCACGAGGCGCCTCCGGTCGGATCTGGCGGTGTAGAGCTCCTTCCTACGTAGTTACAACGGGCACTCTTGCTGGTTGAGGGAGGCCACCTCCAACGCCGCGTTGGATCTCTTTACGGACGCCTCGGGGTCCGTTGGTTTTGGAGCGTATTTTCAGGGTCAGTGGTGCGCGGGGGAGTGGCCGCGGGCCTGGCGGTCTTCCTTATTGAGGAAGAATTTGACCTTTTTGGAACTGTTTCCGATAGTGGTCGCGCTGGAACTGTGGGGCGAGGATCTGAGAAATCACACGGTGGTCTTTCACACGGACAACATGAGTGTGGTTCATGTGATTGCCCGTTCGTCGTCCTCGTCTCCACCTGTTTTGGCGCTTCTCCGTCACCTCGTGCTCCTTAGTCTTAAGTTTAATATTTGGGTGCGGGCGCAGCATGTCCCGGGTGTTCAGAACGTGGTGGCTGATGCATTGTCTCGCTTGCAGTGGGAGCGGTTTCGCTTGCAGTGGGAGCGGTTTCGCGAGGCAGCGCCAGAGGCGCAGCGGACCGGTCTGCGGTGTCCAGACTCCTTATGGAAGCTCGATTTCGAGGTCTGATGGGCTTGGTATTGGATTCCTTGGCGGAGTCTTCATGGAAGGCATACCGGGCAGTGTGGAGGCAGTGGCTGTCGGCAGCACGGGATGGGGATGTATCCACGGCCTCGGGTCGTGCGGAGAGGACTCTCGTGATGCTGGATGACTTGGCCAAGGGAGGTAGGTCCTGCACTGCTGCGGAGAAGGCGTTGGCTGCCCTGTCGTTTTTGTTTCGTTTTATGGGCTGGCAGGATGTTACTAAGGACTATGGGATTCAGAGGGTGGTCAAGGGTTGGCGGCTGAGGCGTCGCCCGGATGGTCGTCGTCCAATTTCGGTTGACATGTTGCGGCGGATTATGTTAGTGCTACCGTCGGTCTGTGGTTCGGAGTACAGGTCGAAGTTGTTTCGCGTGGCCTTCTCGGTCTGCTTTTTTGGTGCCTTTCGTATCGGCGAGTTGGTGGCCCCGAGCAAGGGGAAGGCCTCGCCGTTGGCATTGTCGGATGTGCGATGGTCCCCTTCAACCGTCGACATTTTTGTGCGACGATCTAAGACGGACCAGGCGGCCCGGGGGGCCTGGGTTCGTTTGGGGGCCACGAGGGACGAAGTCTGTCCGGTTGGGGCCTTCCACGCCTTTCTGGGGGTACGCCCGGAGCGGGGAGGCCCTTTGTTAGCTCACGGGGACGGGTCTCCGCTAACCCGGTATCAGTTCTCGGCGATGATGAAGAAAGCGTTGGTTGCGAGTGGTATGGATGGTCACGGGTTTTCGGCCCATTCCTTTCGGATTGGGGCGGCTACCCAGGCGAGTGTGTTGGGGTACTCGGCCGCTGGAATTCAACGGATTGGAAGATGGGGGTCGGGGCGTTTTAAGTCTTATGTCCGACCTCATATGCTGTAACCCCTTTTCTCGTTGTAGGTGGTCGGCCCCGGTACGTGTGGATTATAGGGCATTCTTATGTGTACTGGGCAGCTAGGCGAGCTGAAGGCCGGACCTACGGACGGAATTTGGGGTTTTCGGTGGACGTGGCCAGAGTCAGGTGGAAGGGCATTAGGGGCCTCCAGTGGCAGCAGATTTATCCTGAGTTCGTGGCCCTGCGTAAGTTTGTGTCGGGGCCGGTGGTGGCGGTTGTTCACGCGGGTGGTAACGACTTAGGGGTATCCCGGACTGTGGACCTTCTCCACGCGATTCGGCACGACTTGGCGAGGTGCATGGCGCTCTTTCCAGACATGACCTTGGTTTGGTCGGAGGTGGTATCCAGGCCGTGCTGGCGCGCGCTTCCGCACTCTCGCGGTTTGGAGAAGAGCCGGCGCAAGCTGAACATTGCTGTGGGGAAGTTTGTACGGCGGTTAGGAGGAGTGGTCATCCGACACGTGGAGCTGGAAGGAGAGAACCAAAATTTGATGAGAAAGGATGGGGTCCATTTAAACGAAATAGGGTTAGATATTCTGAACACGGGCTTGCAGGGTGGGATTGAGGCTGCGCTGTCGGCGGGGGGCGCGATGACGGCAGGAGGCGCGAGGGGAAGTCGTCATCGCGGTGGCGGGAGTCCTGGCCAGCGCAGGCAGAAGTGGTGAAGTTGCCGAGGAGGCTTGGGGAGTCGCAGCCTGTTGGGAGCTGATGGCGGAGGCAGGCTGCTCAGGACTCATGGTTTGTGGGGATAGACCTGTCTGTTGGGCAATCACCCCAACAGCTGACAGTATGAATATGTTGCTGGCATGGAAATGAATTAATAAAAGCTGTGGCCGATGCCCTTACCCAACGTAATTACGGTCTCTGTGTGTTATTGGGGAACTGGGGGCATTGGGGGGTGGTACAGACATCTAGACAGCAGTCAAGACACCTCCCTGGACTGACAAGGAAGGGGGGACATGACTGCGGCTAGGATAAGGAGTCTTGAAGGAGTAAGGGAAGGGAGGGGTATAAATGGATACATAGTTGCTAAGATGGAAGACAGTTATAAGGACAGTTAGGGGAGGGGACTTACCAGTCAGCTTTGGAAGTGCAGGGATCCTGACTTTCCCGCCCTCCCTCCCCTAGGACGTTTAGTTAGACAGGAATGTGGGTTGTTGTTGGTGCCTGTTGTTGGTTGTCTTTTTCTTGTTTTTGTCACAGCACGCGGGAGTCCTGGCCAGCGCAGGCAGAAGTGGTGAAGTTGCCGAGGAGGCTTGGGGAGTCGCAGCCTGTTGGGAGCTGATGGCGGAGGCAGGCTGCTCAGGACTCATGGTTTGTGGGGATAGACCTGTCTGTTGGGCAATCACCCCAACAGCTGACAGTATGATTATGTTGCTGGCATGGAAATGAATTAATAAAAGCTGTGGCCGATGCCCTTACCCAACGTAATTACGGTCTCTGTGTGTTATTGGGGAACTGGGGGCATTGGGGGGTGGTACAGACATCTAGACAGCAGTCATGGTTCTTATCTGTCACATTCTATGTTTCTATCCTGGCCTCACCTCTTTAAAATTCTAAAATCCAACCTTTTTGGAAGTCCATTCTATAATTTCATGAAAGCACTATACATGTTAAGGTTTTGACAGGAGATGCCCAGATAGCAGTAATAAACCAAAAGCGAAGTACCAAATCGGGATTAGTAAAATTGTAGCCATGGGAAGCCAAGGTCAGGGGCAGGCAGCACAGGATCATAAACAAAGTAACAGGCAAATAGGTTAAAAATCAAGCAGTCAATAGAAGTCACTGTAACGTGTACACACTGAGAGCACAGTATTACTGAACACTGAGAACATGATTCGAAGTGGTTATATAGGGGAGAGG